ATTTTAGGTGAATTGGAACAGAGATCCATTATTACAGCTACTTTTGTTCATTAAGTAGGTAGATGAATGTATGAACAGCTTTAATGGCAGCACAAAGTTTCCACCTACTAAAAAAGTAAAATGTATGCTGAGTAAAAAATCTCTGCACATGTAGTATTGCCAAAGGACTTTTGAAATTATTAGAGATTGGCTATTTCTTACATACACCTACCTCTAATAGCCACTCTAGTGGCTATTAGAAGATTGTAGAGTCATTTAAACGAAGTAAAAAAATTGAATCACAAAAGGGCAGAATTTTAAATCAGGATGCATTGGAAAATAAATTTGGGGACATCAGGTTGGTTTTGGATTTTAGAGAGAGATCAATCTCAAGAAAAGTTAATTTATCCTGCAGAACAACAAGTAGTTTAAGTAGGATCTGCTATAACTTTATTAGAAGATTTACTTGATAATAAGTTGTAATATACCAATTGTTTCAAATGAAATTGAAAAAGAGTTAAATTCGAAATTAGATTTTTTATGGGTAAAATGTTATATTCATTCAAACATCGTAAGGTAATCTATAATTAAGGGAGTATGAAAAATAGTTATACCCTAGTAAGGGACAAAAAAAATTACAAAAATGTATTCATCTGTAAATAGTGTTTATTATTAATATTATTATTTGCTATGTTTGAAAAGTACCTCCTGTTGCAGAGCAGATCGAATAGATTAGACGACTAGTTGGAGAAGATCCACCTAGTCACCAAATTAGGAGACTAGGAAAACTTTTACATGACTGGGGACATAACAGGAATGCACACGCACAAGATACACAAACAGACGACATAACAGGGGTAAGCCTTCAGCATCGTCCTGTTTAAATGATGACAGTATGTCAACCTTCATTCCCTTTTAGAAGGCATGGCATATAAATCTATTGATTTTGATGACCCTAAGAGGAATTAGCAGGGGGTGTACGGAATGGGTCTAGCAGGTTTCGATCCAGTTTACAGGATGGGAACTTATTCGAATCGGGCCTTATACATTTGTGTGAGTATATGCACATACTTTGATTACTATACGAGGCAAGAGAGAGGTCCGACACGCCTAACATAGGGTGCGGCCATTTTGAACCCTGTGACACAGTTTTCAGCTAAAGAATCAGATCGCTCACTCTGCGTTGGCACTTTTGATCTCAATGTTTCAGTTTATACACTGTGCAACTCGGATAATACAATATATGACAACCGCCTATAATAAAACAGCAGTCTTCTGCATATCCTGAATTTGTATCCTTGGAGTGGATGTTATTTTGGAACTTTCAACTGGTCCGAGTGAGCTAACTGATTCTTTAGCAATAAACTGTGACTTCAAAAATAATATTCACTGACACTGACAGCAGCAAGCAAAATATCAGGTGCGTTTTAATCATCCGCTTCTGCTTCCGGAATTGTCGGTTTAGTCGTTTTAACCTGTCAGATTAAAACAAGAAAACCGACAATTCCGAAGCAGAAGCGGATGATTAAAACGCACCTATTAAAAATATTGCGCCAAGATGTAGGCAACACGTAATAAGAGTTCAAAATGGCGGAGTTTTCTATCTCCTTTTAAAAGGCACTCAGAAAGCTGCGCAGTGCGACCATTCTCCGTATAGTAAAAGAAAATCAAAGTATGTGGAGTATATGTGTGTGTGTTTGTTTCGTTTCCATGGTTTCTATTAAAATAAACAGTCATAACATATCGATACCTTTTTGCCAGACTAACGTAAGCGACATTTTTGTTCAAATGGAACTTATGATAGTCTGGCAAAAAGGTATCGATATCTCTATACTTTATAAAATATTTGTTACATTATTTTTTAAATATATAATGAATATATAACAACTGTGACTTTCTTTGTAATTTGTCATAAAATGATACGAGGTACTTTCTAAAAGTAGCAATTGTAGTTTGTTTTTCTGTACCTTACAAAATTATAATTGATAGAAAAAGAGTTTGGTGTATTAATTTTCCAAGTTTAAATATTTAATAATCAATAGAATTTTCAAGTTTTTTTAGCGAAATTTACAAGCGTAATAAAAACTATGTTCACTGCTTATATTAAACTGATTAAACTTCCTTTATTAAAATGATTATTTATATGATAAAAAATTTGATGTTATTGGAAGCTTTTATATTTTTTAATATAAAGTGAAACAATAGTTTTTGTTTCTCCTGTAAATTTGTATAGAAAAACTATTTATTTCTGAATCCATGTTTTAATTTCCCGCCCTAAAGCATTTTTAATTTTCCCGCTATTTACTAGTGGCGTCATCATAGACTGGTTGTGGTTATAATCGCCCAAACAACTTTTACCGAATAAAAAAAAAAATACATTGAGTTACACGTCTCGCTGGGTTGTCTTTGATACAAGAGATTTTTAGTGTATTTGGTGATTCGTCGAGGTACAGGTACGTTATATTATAATCTCAGTCTTTTGCTGTTTTAAAGTAGTAGATTTTTTTTTTTGGTTCTTTTATTTTAATAATAAGTATTGTAGATATTACGAAACACAGTGAGAGGTCTAACGTAGCTTGCCTGTATCTAGGGAAAATCCAAGATCCACTCCCACCGGCCACAATTTTTTGTGATTTTCAAGTATCTTACCGGCCCGTGTTTTTTTTTTCTACTAAACGAAAATAATTTTGTAAATTTTTTCTTTGGCTTCGCTAAGGGCTTTAAGAAGTTTTGTTTTTTAAAGGAATATGTTCCTTATTTTTTCCTGTTTTTAGACGATTTTAGATTTTTCATTTAACGAAATATCATTTTTATTTTTTCTATTTGATAGGGATATGGGAAATTTTTGAACATGTTTGCTATTAAAGTAGTATTAAAAGAATTAGGGCCAATCTTTTCACTTCTGAGTAAAGTTAAAAGTAACTACTTGCTAATTAAACTATAGGGCTATTGTTTGTTAATCTGTCAAGTAAACCTACATGTAACTTTACTCAGAGGTTCAAAGAGTCAAATATTCCGGAAAAGTTCGTAAAATATAAATCTATTTCATATTTTGTCTCATTTCGCCCATTTGAAAAGTTCAGATTAATTCTATTAACTGGGAAATTTTTATTTTCGTATATCTAGTGATTTTCTGTTGATACTTAAAATTTATAAAATTTTTGAATTTAATTACCCACCAATTTTTATAGTGAAAAGATATTTGAGACAATAAATTATTATCATAGTAATATTTTGAATCTTGTTCATTGGCTGAGGTGAGTTTTTTATTTTTTTCTTTGAAAAGTAAACAAGCTTCCAATTAAATAAAAAATATTTCTTTTGTAGTTAATTAAATAGTTATAACATTATAGTGTTGTAAAATTGAAAACGTTCCAAGATTTATTTTTTTTAAGAAAAATTTATTTTCAAGAAATTTTTTGAACTTGTTTCAAATATTATTCATTAGTTTCAGTTCGTTATCTATAATATCTATTCTTCCCCAATATTAAACCAGTTCTTATCTTTTCATAAATCATTGTTGCAAATTGTTTTTGAATATTCTTGAGTATCCTAAATAAATATTTTTCGCATTTCTTCACATACCCTTAGAATTAATAAATTTTGTTAACCTACTTAAGTCAATTTATTTTTTCTTTGATCACTATCCAAAATAGGCTTTTGTGCTTCGAAATCCAACCGCAAAGTTGACATGTTCCGCGAAATGACATTAAGTGACAGCTTTGTTGCTCGCCTAATTTAAATTAGTTATAACACAATAATATTTCTTTTTAATAATTATTTTCAAGTTATTTGTACGTAGTTACATGTTTTTTTGTTAAGATGGACCTTGAATATCAAGTGGTTTTTTTATGATTAACCTAGGTATAGGCAACACATTATACACTAATTACGACAAATTTTCGCGAGCAATTTTCTGTCTCAAGCGGCCAAGTATCACTTTTCGCTCTTAATACACAATAGCTATTTTGAGTTTTGACACACCCTCTATACAACATACCAAATGAATGAAGTCTATTAAAATTGTGTGACAGTGTGAAAACAATCAAATATGTGTAACTAAATATAGAGTGTTTTACTTTAAAAAATTATAAGTTTGGTCAGCCCTTCGTTTATGAACCATCCTGTATAGTTAAGAATAATTGTTAAATATAGTCGGAAACCTTTTGAAAAACTGAAAAATAAATAAAAATTATGGCACCCTATATCTTTGAATCAAAACATCTGCGGATCATGTGGATACGAATTATTTGTCTTATTTTTGGGTAAGGTATCACCCCACGAGTGATGGTACATGTTTTTTGAACCACCCTGTTTATTGTGGCTCGGAGTAGAAGGCTTTTTACGTGTTTCACCCATTTTGCACATCCTCAACTAGCGCCTCGGCTGTGTAAGGGCTCAACAATAAAGTTCTCTTTCTACATCGAGTAACATAATATTTATTAATTAAAAAACAATCAAAAAATAATACAAACATTATTTAAATTGTTGATCAGTTATTTTACTGACTTAAAATTGTGCCTGTAGCGTATGTTGGGACAACCTGCATAACAAAGTTGTTCAAAATTGCTGAGTGGTTAATCGATTATGAAAAAATGAGTAGGACAAAATGATGCTTTATGTTCAAACTTGACATGGTTTACAAAAAATATTAATGTAAAAATTTAATGTTAAACATAACTCTGATAAAATAAAATAAAATAAAATATCAATTTTATTGATGTATGCATATTAAAGAAATCGTGAAAGAAAAATATTTTTTGTTTTAAAATTTGTGGTTCTTGCGATTTGTTTATTGGATGAAATGATAATTTAATAAAAGGAAAATATCTATGAAGCTTTTGGAATATTGTTTTTTAAATTAAAGATTATTCATTTATTTACATTTCAACGAAACGTTTATAATATACAATTATATTTTTGAAACTAAGTTTCCGTGAAAGCAAAATAAATGTTGTTTAAAAAACTTCGTAGAAATTTCTTTGTTGTAATATATTAATCATTTCATTTGTATCCATTCTAAAAAACGACTATAAAATTTATTTACATTTTGACACAATTTTTTATAAACTACTCTAAGGCAGATACTTATTTGTACAACTGACTTGCAAAAGGCAGTTGCTAAGAAAACACAAAACGTCGACTTTAGGGACACGATTAAAAGTAAGTAGGTATACTCCATATGGAATTTTAATCCCATTTTTTTCTTGTAGAAAAATCATTACCGAAATATATCAAATTCTAATTTTTTATATTTGTTTTCATTTCATTTTTACTACAAACACGATTGGTTATGCGAATGTCTATAGCAGTAGCGTAGCCAGAAATGTTTCACGTGAGGGTTTCCTGAGAACCAAGAGGGGACCCATCAACAAAGTAAAATATTTCAGATTAAAATAAATAATTTTTTATAAAACGATAAAAAAGTAAATAAAAACAAACAGTTAATAGCCATCAGCTCCAATACGATGGCAGAAACGGTGACGCGAAGGCCTCCATGGGAGTTCTGACCCCCAAAACCTCCTCCATTGGTCTGTAGGTATAAAGTATGAACGCCGGATAACACCTGCATATTTTTAACAGGTGATTAAGGAGCCAAAATGCTGCAAAAGGCTATAATATAGTTATATCCTAAAATCAATCGTTTTTTTTTTATCATGTGATCTAAAAAGTTCACATCCCGCAAAATAGAAAATTTAGTGAGAAAAATTAAATGAAAAATGATGCCTTACACACAAATATTCGTACCTTGCTATCCCTGCGTCCTTGGCGAAAAGACCTACCCATCACCTACTAACCAACTTTTAGTGCAGCACCAATCTATACCTCTGCTCAGTGCCTCTATAAAGACACAGCACCGTAAACATTTTAAAATATTTGTGGTAAAACGGTTTTAAATTGGATTTGTTAATTTATATTGTCATACTTAATTTAGGAAAGGTTTTAAAGGGTAATAATAGCAAATATGGTGATTTTGTTTTTTGGATATATTGTAAACATGAACTTAAAAAAACGCACTGTCAGTTTGTAAAATCTTGCACTTATTTTTGTTTAAAAGTAAACTTTTCATGCTTTGATAAACGCGAATTCATTAATTACATCTTCATCTTCATAGTTAAGTTTTGAAGCTGTTGTTTACTTATATTCTATTGACAAAATTGCTTAACGACTCTAACGGTCATTGTTAGGAAAATTCGCAATGCAATTTCAATATTAGGATAGGCATCTCTGAGTTCATACTCATTAGTAGTCTGCAAGAGTACTAAATGGGACGCCGAGGCAAGGTTGTTAAGCAGCTCGTTTATGTGCAATTTCGAGGGTGTCCACGTCTCTGCTGTACTTGTTGCCTAAATCTTTGACACAGTTCTCCAAATCAGCAACTGTCCGTTTTTGCAGTGATGGTCCAGATAAAAATCCAAAATCCTCAGACACTTTTGAGTAGTCTTCTGACCTGTTTCTCATTTTCTTTAACTTGTCATAAATACAAAAGCACTCTCGTTGGAATTCTTGTTTTTGTGAGACGATGCAGCTCTCATCCATAGCTATTTCTCTTAATTCGTTTATTTGGAAAAAGACTGTCAACGCCAATTTCATCACATGTTGATACAGCTTTGTAAAGCATGTCATCTACACCATCTTCACGCCGTTTTTTAATTTTCTTCGATGGGCCATTTAAAAGTTTTGACGCAATGTCAAGAGACAAGTCTTTGGCTTGAAGTAACTTATTTTTAGTTAATTGATATCAGTATTTCGGACTACATAGGCAGGCAAATAAATTTGAAATCAATATTTTTTTAAAGTTCGTATCATAGAAACGTCAACACCGTTTCCCTCTTGAAAACAACTACCCCTTTGACTAATACCGCAATAGGCATTGAATGCATTATATCAAAAGGAAAATAGCAGAAAGAAAATAATTTTCAATACCGTAACTTTTCGTTCCTAAGGAGAACGTCATTCTTGGATCCATTTCGACCTTACTAGGACTCATCAGCAAGAAATAGACAATCTCGACTCGTCTCTAATGGAGTTTGCCAGATGTGTTACATTCACTCGCATACATCGCATATATTATTTGGACAATGTTATACTATAATATCCCCTTTAAATCAATGATAGCTGCCGCTCGCAAACATGGAATAGAAGACACCATCTGCTGGTGGATAAAAGACATATTACGCGGACGGCATATACAAGCACAAATGTTCAGTGAATATCCACAGGGGATGTCCTTTCTCCTCTACTGCAGAACCCAGTGGCAGATGCACTCTTGAGAACACTGAAAAATAAAGGGTTGTACGCAATAACATAGTCATCCTTATCCGTGGGAAATACCAAACAACAGTCTTTGAACTCATGCAAAGTGCTCTGAGGTTGACAGAAATGTGGTACGTTAGGGAACACCTATTAGTAAACCTTGACAAGGCACAACTCATAAACATTACTCGGAAAACAAGGTTGAAGGTCTTAGAAACTCCTACCCTGTTTGGAGGAAAAGTAAAAAGAACGCACCAAGTAAAATATCTGAGTCTGATCCTAGATAGTGTACTTAACTAGAACCAACACTAACAAAATGTCACCAACAAATGTAAAATGTGTCTCATTATAGGTAGACGGGCATTTGGGAAAACATGGAGATTAAAACCGAAAATGGTCCACTATATTCGGTAATAAGAAGATCCATGATAACATCTATGGTTGTTTGGTGGCTAAAAGTAAACCAGAAAACAACCCTCAATACATTCTCAGGAGTACAGACGCTGGCATGCCTTTGTATTACAGGAGTACCGAGAGAGCCTCTATGAAAATCATTCTAAATCTCCCCCAACTTGACTTAGTCATAAAGGGGCAAGTCAGAATGATTGCATACAGGCTTGACCTCTCCAACAACTGGAACCCACTGGGACATAATAACACATAAGGTAAATGATCCTGTATTAAACATGGGCTCCGCCTATCCTTCAAGAGACTTGCGACCTGCAAGTCAACTGCTGCTGGAACAAGGTAAATAAGTATGGTATATGGATGGATCTAAAACTAACAAGGGAACAGGCTCTGGCGTACATGGAGTTAAACCCAATTGCAACATCATCGTCTCACTGGGAAAACATACCACTGTGTTTCAGGCTGAAATACATGCAATAAAATTGTGTAAATAAAAGAATTTAAGAAGGAAATTCAAAAAACAAACCATCTTAATTCTCTCAAATAGCCAAGCATCCTTAAAGGCCCTTGGTTCAAACAAAATCAAGCCGAAGCTGGTCTGGAACTGCCTTGGAATACTAAATGATCTAGCAACCCACAATAAGGGGTAAAATTAGCGTGGATAGCAGGACACAAAGGTATCTAAGGAAATGAAAAGGCTGATGAACTCGCCAAAGAGGAATCAGAACTACCATTCACAGGACGCGAACCTGTATTTGGGATAAGCGAAACCTCTGCTCGACAAGCACTGAACAGGTGGATAACCACAAAACACCAAATTAACTGACAACAGATAAAATAACACAGAATCAGTATGCTCATGATAAGGGGACCAAACCCACACATGGCTACTGAGGTAATACAATTCTTAAGTCTCAGATATTCACCATTGTTGGATTACTAACGGGATATTGTTTGCTGAAAAACATTTATGTGGTGGGATTACACAATATTCCCACCACGTGTAGAGTCTGCATGAAAGAGGAACAAACCTCATACCATGTAATCTTCGAATGCAAAGCTCTTGCTAAGCTGAGTCTCACCCTTTTTGGGCCTAGAATCAAAAAGAACGCTCCAGGGATACTTGGTAGGGATCTTAGTAAAACTACCTCGACAATCAAAATAATTATCTCTGGCAATGTATGAAGAAGTCAACGAAAAAAATGGCCCGTGTCGCCCATCGTCGTGGGGATCCGCCCAGGGTGTTTAGTGTTTATGTGCCATAGAGTGCCGCCACTAAATGTTGCCACTGAGTGGTCGATCAAGATGGGCTCTAAAACGCATATCATATATAGTGAAAGTGTAAATAATAATGATTAATTATTAGAATCCGTTAAAAATGTTTCACACAATTATTTCTCGATAACAAAATATACTGGTAGGTAAACATTGATGCCAAGTTTTGTTATAAGTCCAGTTTCTTTAGGAATATATTCTTAAAATATAGATGGTTTTTGCTTAATTTTGCTTCACTAGTAGATTAGCTATGGGATGGAACAGGATAGGAGCGGAGTTTTTATGGTGCCTTTAAATGACATTTAAGCGAGATGAACTGTCACTTACCGGAATAAACCGTTTGGAGTTAAAACAGTTAAAGGAGTGAATGGAACTTATCTATTAATCACCTATTAAAATTATGCGGATGTTATGCTAGTACTCCGTAGTTTGCTGATGTTTTTTTGAACATTTTATTTTACCCACTTTGGTGATTTTAAATTTTAGACATTAAACTAAAAAGTAATATTTGGTAAATATTCCTCTGAATATTAGTTTAGATCAGACACCATATCTAAATATTTATATCGTCTACAAACTGTATTTACATAATATTAAAAGTGACATTCCTACAATTTACTACTTTTAACTATGTTAATTTCAAATAAGTTTTATAAAAAGTATTTGAAAAAATTTAAGGCTCAAGGGGAGAGTAGGTATTTGTTTTATCTTTTTGTTATGATATCCCACTAAAATTTAGGTTGTAAGTTGGTATTAATACAATTTTTATGTGCCTACAGTATAATCTGTAGGTAAGCGGTTTTTTTTATAAATAAGTAGATAATCATGGGTTTACTGAATTATTAATATAATCAACTATATCAATTTTTTACTTCTTAGAATTAATTAGTCCTGAAAACTTGAGCCCTTAACTAATTTCTGTCGAGAAACAAGAAAGGATATTATAAAAATTAAAAACATCATTTAAATTATTTTACGTTTGTGTAGATATTCAAAATAAAAATTTCTGGAGTGTCCTTCCATCTCTTTTATTCTTACACATATAAAACGTTGTGTGAACTCCCTTAATAGGATTCACATACTAGTTTTAGCAATTTGAAGGTATCTAGGTATTACACCTTTTTCCTTACAAGTATTGAGAGATCCTTGGAAAGCATTATTTTTTATAATACAAATACATATACGAGGGTGAAATGATAATAGGGTAGAGTCTTATAGATGGTATTATAACGTCCTATACAACACACATTATTTCAGAAGTGTTTCATAAATATTTCAAACAAATAACTAATTAGCAATGCAAGCACAAGTTTCTAAAATATTTCACTAAAAATGTTTCTGAGACATGGTATAAATGTTACACAAAAGGTTACTAAACGAGTTATGTTGTAAAAAGCTAACACTTAATAAATAATTTCGGATTTGTAAGTTGTAAGAAGAGGAGCGGAATAAGAAGATTGGTTATGAAGTCATTTTATTTCATCCTATGTTCAGCTAGACACAGCCCTATATTCTAAAATAATTAAAGGTTTGCGTTTGTTGTCGGTTTGTACCACTTGCATTTTTTTGTTATTTATTTGTTGATCTGCCCAGTTGAGCGAAAATATTATTTGTGGTAAAAGACTGAGTTTTGTTTCCTTAAAAGTTTTCTTTAATAACCAGGCATTTTACATTTCTGAGGCCAAAGAGCCTACAAACGCATATATTGATAGACCATAGTGATAATAAAACATTTCAAAATTTAGGAAGTTATTTTGAAAAATAAAAATATATTTAAAAACACAGAATGTTGTTACATATTTATCCTACACAATTATGACTCCACTCTCATACTGTAGACTGTAAGTATACTTTACGTTACGACATCTAGTAAATATCCACGTAAATATCCATGTAAATATTTTTTTTAAGAACCAAAAATTTTAATCTTTAAGTACCATTTTTAGGAAATATTTACCACTGCTCTTGTAATTTCATAATAATTATATCTATTTTAAAAACAGAACTATTTCCGAATCAATTTGATTTCACTTTTTTGTTAAATACTTTGGAGTTTACAATATGGTGCACGCCGTACCATGCATTACTTCGGAGATGAACATGGGAGTACCTGCTCCCAGACCTCCATCCGTTTTCTCTTGCTCATTTTGTTCATATTCACAGTCAAAGTAATGGCTTTGGCAATCGAAGCATCTAAAAAAAAATGAATTAATCAAACTTCTTTCGGCAATATGTATGAATTGCAAAATTTGTTTTTAAAATAATGAAAAGCGCTTTTGGCGTTAAGCCATAATCACCCCCTTTAACATTTTTAATAAGCTGGTGGATCAGACAATAACAATGTGAAATAGAAAATGGTTATTTTAAATACTCCCGAGTGAGATGAAAAATAACCTATCTTCGCCCATAGAGTCGCACATCAAGTCTATTGACAAGCATTCTACCCCACTCCAGGGGACCTATTTTCAAACCGTGTGAGTACTCATTTCTCTCAAGATTCTCATCAGAAATGTCATACGTCAATGTGGAAACGCTGTTTTTAAAGGCCTCGAGGATTAAAATTCTTAGGAGGATATTAATTATCTCTAAATAAACCGTGAGAAACAATCAGTGAGTTTACACTGGCCCTTAGGACCCTAAAAATACTGTTTTACGTTGACGTATGACATTTCTCTCGAGAGAAATGAATTCTCTCGACTTTGAAAATAGCACCCCAGTTCATTGTAGCTGACCAAATACTTTTTGTACCAGGTCCTTCTATCGGACTGACAGCCAGTGTTGCCAGAGCACTCTGAAGGAATGTAATAGATGAACTCTCAAAATTGTAATAAATTTCAAGAAAATGTAAGAGAAATTATAGTCAACCTAAAATGAAATATATATAAAAAATAGATTCATTGTATTGATATTGATAATTAATGTTTCATGTTTTTAATATATATTTAAACTTATTTATTGATAAGAACAATGACAGTCTTTCAATTATTGTCATAATGCAGCACGAGGATATTTTTGTTCCACATTCTTATAATTTTAGGTTTGTTGCAACAGCAGACTCGTTCTGAATTTATCTGCGCATGAGTAGTACGAAGATATTCATCTCAACACGTGTCGAATTGAAAGATGAGAATTACAATGCTGTTCTACTCTTCGTACTACTCATGTGTAGATACATTCAGAACGGTTCTATACTGGGGTTAAAACATACCTTTTATTAAGAAAATGAAGCAAAAAGAAATTTGGCCTTCAATGCAAGGTCCAATGATATAAGAAACTTTTTAAGCGCTTTGGGCATGCTCAGGAAAATATATTTGGGATGAACCTAATCAAATAAACATGTTTGGGATGGGATTAGTTGTATGAAATAATAAACAATATATAAGGAACATATAAAATCAAGACACGATGGTTAGGTTCAAATTCATCAATTGTTCGAGGCTGTAATAATGTAATAAACCCTTTATGAATGTAATAGGTTTGTTACAATTGTAACAAACTGGCAACACTGCTGACAACATCCGTAGTGACAAACCTAATTAAAGAACATTCCCTTGTGAAATTCAAAGAAAAGTAGGATAAAACAAGAATGTGCAGAGTCAGAGTTGCCAGAGAAGCTTTTAAGTTACCCTGACAACACCTCGGCAAATATCGGCCGACATAAAAAAGCACCTCTGCGCGACGTTGTCAACTACATCAAATCTGTAGGCTTGACTGACAAGTTAAGAAGTGTCTATCAATTTATAAAGATGCAGAAAAGGCCTAGTGAAGCCGAAGTGCCTTGGGGCAACCTACCCTATACACGTTACAGATACTGTACCATCTCTTTTTTTATAAAATATTTAAAAATTCATTTTTAGAAAGGTTACCACCAGTTTTAGACGTTCAGTCCGTTCTTTATGATTCTTAATATTGTTTCAGATCGAGTACTTCTTTTTCAATGCTTCTAGACAATGAACATCCGAATGGGGAATATTCAAACCACTACAAAATCTGAATATTATGTAAATATACAGGGTGGCCCAATTAAACTGAAATATTTTCCTAGGAGAAGTTTCTTTGGGAAATCTCCGAGACCGGTCGATTTTGATTTCAAGGGGGACTTCTTCTGATCTTTAATTCATGGATGTAGGTTCATCCTCCTAAACGGATTGGCAACCCCTTCAAGAATACTGAATGGCACGAGGGGTCAAGTAGCACAACATTCTAAAGGTATTTCAATTCTCTTTTCAAACATGCTGACATTTTTTTGTTCTGTGTTAAAATTAAAGTAAAACACCTGTTGGAAGTGTTGGTGAAATAAACTGAAGATATAAGTTTCCAAAAAAGTTTTAATTAATCAATGTTCAAATTGTAACCCATTTACTTCCACGCAGTAATAAAGTCTTTGTTTAACATGTTCCCGAACATTTCGCAGCATTTCAAGGGTTATTTCTTCAATACTTGTCCTATTCGGTGGCAAAGATCTTCTAAAGATGTAGGTTTCGTCTTATAAACAACACTTTTTAAATAACCCCACAAGAAAATGTCTGATGGTGATAGATATGGCGATTTTGAAAGCCATTGAATGAAACCTCTTCTATCAATCCAGTGTGGCGGGGCACCATCCTGTTGAAAAAATATATCATTTGCTGGGATCTGCTTTCGAAAATCTCCACAATGCAAAGGTAGATCAAGTCTTCAAGAAAATTGAGATAAGACTCTCACCAGTCAAGTTAGAAGAAAGGGACCAACAAAATTATTGCCCAAAGTTCCAGCCCATGCATTCAACTTTTCTGGATATTGTGAATGTTGTTCTCTCATAATTCGTGGATTCGAATGACTCCAGTATCTGCAATTATGTCCAGTGTTGCCAATCTGAAAATTCTAAAATCGGTAGATTCTTTTGCCAAAAATCGGTAGAAATCGGTGAATTTAAAAAAAGGCAAATTTGAAAAAGGAGGCAAATTTGAAAAAAATATTTATTTAAAATAGAAAACAGAGACAATTTGAATTTTACAAAATATAAAATGGGAAAAATATTTTTTTTGGTGAATGTACAAATAGAGAATAACAGAAACACATTAAAAGATAAACCTTGGGACAATGGGTCCTATGATTGAACGTTTACGTTATCCGTAACGTACATGTTAGGCAGAATTTTAAAAGTAACGAGGCAAGTTCGGATGATGGAAAACTGTTAAATTAGAAGATAACAGGCGGAAAATAACAGTAACGTGTTGGAAAAAGTTTTCCATCATACGAACTTGCCTCATTACTGTTAAAACTCGGCCTAACATGTACGTTACGGATAACATAAACGTTCAATCATAGGACCCATTGGGTGCTATGATTGAACGTTTACGTTATCCGTAACGTACATGTTAGGCCGAGTTTTAACAGTAATGAGGCAAGTTCGTATGATGGAAAACTTTTTCCAACACGTTACTGTTATTTTCCGCCTGTTATCTTCTAATTTAACAGTGTTCCATCATCCGAACTTGCCTCGTTACTTTTAAAATTCGGCCTAACATGTACGTTACGGATAACGTAAACGTTCAATCATAGGACCCATTGGGTCCTATGATTGAACGTTTATGTTATCCATAACGTACATGTTAGGTCGAATTTTAACAGTAACTAAGCAAGTTTGTATGATGGAAAACTGTTAAATTAGAACATAACAGGCGGAAAATAACAGTAATGTGTTGGAAACCGTTTTTCATCATACGAACTTGCCTAATTACTGTTAAAACTGAGCCTAACATGTACGTTATGGATAACGTAAACGTTCAATCATAGGACCCATTGAGTCTATATTTATCAACAGATCTCAGCGAAGTCCGACTCAGTTGAGTCGTCCTTGAACTAAAATCGAAGTTCGGTTATATCGTGTGAATTTAAAGATGGGTAGTAACAAATCCTTAAATGTACTTAACAGTCACAGATTTGCTACTATCCATCTCTAAATTCCAGTGTAACACCGGAACTACCTGGAACTTTAGAGAGGTTGTAACCGAGCTTCGATTTTCGTTCAAGGACGACTCACCCGTGTCCGACTCAGCTGAGTTCTGTTTATAAATACGGACCTAAGTAAAAAATAGGCCTTATAATATTGTAAAACATAGATAAAATAAATAATTTATTCAAAAAAACTTATAATCCAACATCAACTAATCAGCTGCTGCCCCATTCTCATTAGTAATTCGAAATTCCTTGTAAAAATTCTAACACAAAACATGGCCAGAATCCCAAAAATAAAATTACTTGCAAAAAAGCGCAAGCGCAAACATATCAATTCTGAGAAAATTCTCGATTTGGGCCAGAACTGGAATATCTACTGCTCATGCTCCAAAGGTTCTGGAAGAGTTCTGGAACAGTTACGAAAGTGAACCAAAGCAAAGCTTATGTGAACGCTTGCTGTTAAAAGTGTTGCATACCTTTTTGAGTATCAGTTAATAAAGAAAAGAAATTTATTACAAATGTATTATAGAAACTAAAAAAAATCAAATCATGGTAGATAAGGTCTCATTATTCGGTAGATGAATTTCTAAATCGGTACATCAGTAGAATGAATCCAAAATCGGTAGATCTACCGAAAAATTGGTAGGGTTGGCAACACTGATTATGTCTTGTTTGCATTACCATTAAAATTCTTTCAACCATCTCCTCACAAAATTGTATACGGCGATCTGGATTATCGTTCATTGAGTTCTTGCACGAGATGAATCTTATAGGGACCGAATCGAAGCTTTTTTTAATTCTCTGAAGATTACTACGTGTAATTCATGAAGTTGCTGCTACTTTTCTGGTGCTTGAAGTAAGATCCAGTTTAACATGACCCAAAATTGCCTCGTTAGTAACAGTCTGTTGCCTTTCGTGTTTTTTGTTAGCAACGGACTCGGTCCCCATGAATTTATTTATAAAATTTACTACGTAGGGATGGCTATGGTTTTTACCAGGATGCGTTTCATTAAAAATTCTTGCAGTTTCCCGGGCCCTTTTATTTTTGCTAAAATAGAGTACGACAATTTCAATTAATTTTGCTGTGGTGTAAACCATGATTTAGATCCTTTTTTTCAAGATATATACCAAATGAAAACAAATAAGTGAATTTCTCTACACTAGACTCATTAGACAATAATTTTGATTAGTGTAAAATCAGAATGCAACTACCTGTAAAACCGTGAAAATAAATTAGTCATATTATCAAGGCTTCGCTGATAAAAACTTAATGTTTTGCAGTTGAGTTCTTCGATATTATGTTTTTTATTTCTTTTTTATAACAGGTATTTTACATTAATTTTAACACAGAACAAAAAAATGTCGGCATATCTGAAAAGAGAATTGAGACACCTTTAAAATGATGTGGCTCTTGGCCCTTCGTGCCTTTTAGTATTCTTGAAGGGGGATGAACCCACATCCATGAATTAAGGATCAAAAAAGTCCCTTGAAATCAAAAGCGACCGGTCTGGGGGATTTTTCAAAAAACTTCTTCTATGAGATTATTTCAGGTGGGTTGTTTTTAATTGGGCCACCCTGTATGACAGTACTTCATGTTTCCATTCTTCGCCTGCTATATTGTTGTATATTTTATGTTTTACGCAGATGATACATATGTATACAAATACAGGGTGATTGACACCTACACAAAGAACTACTTCCAGAGCTATATACTAAAATCAACTCGTGAGAACGCGCCTTTAATATCGTCGAAAGATGGTGCCTAAAAAAAGGAATGGCCACAAACCCGGGGAAAAGCTCTGTTGTTACATTTAAACAGGTATCTGCAAGGAATGAAGAAGCTTTATATGTGGGGACAAAACCGAAAAATGGTAAAAACAGTCATAAATCTTGAAACCAACCTTGATGCTTAGTTTAGTTTAGCTTTTGCACCTATATAAAAAAAAACAACAGGAAAAACTAAGAACGCTATGGGCCTAAGTTGTCGCAGCTTCTTTAATTCTGTTATGAAAATCCTCGATAAAAATATTATTTATTACTCACCTACATTGGTCAGACATCTTGCATGTAATTCCAAACTGTTTAGCTACAGCTCTGTACAATTCTTTACTTGATTTGTGCATTATTTCTGGTCCTTTGGTGGGGTTAGTTGGCGAAGAAAGCTCACTTTGCGCTTTTAAACGAGTCTGAAGCAAATATTTTGATTAGAATGCTATGAAATTACTCAAGAGTTAGCTACAGGGTATCCCAGAGATAAGTAAATTAATTTTATCCCAGTAACGTAACTCGTAAAAATCATGACTAGTACTAGAAAAAGGTATTTAAATACGTTTCCATTATAATAGGACAATATAGACGGTTTTCCCTCCGGAAACCCACAATAGGTATTGAATTATATCCAAGGAAAAACAGCAGAGAGAAAATTATTTTAACTTTGATTTATTGATTTTGCTCACTAAAGGTACACAGGTAACATCAACCTCGATTTATTTTGCGCTTGTAAATTATATCGATGTCGTTTTAAAGGATATAAAAAGCATACGCAATATATTATCACAAACTAATGAATTTACCGTAACATTAGAATATGTCAAATTACAAAAAATTGCGATTTTTAGTATTTTGAAAATACTCCAAAACTGTATAACTTTTAATAATTTTATATACGTATTAGAGATTAACGTCAAATTCACTAAAACTTCTCCTATTTAACCGACTTGTATTTCTTGTCTTATATCAATATAGAAACAGGAATTTTGGACACATTGTATAGTTACATATTCGAAGCAATGGACTGAATATATTAGTGAATACGTCAAAATCCTCAAAAGGCCCCCAAATTAGTGATGTGGTCATTCGAATGGTAAATCATTCGGAAATTCGATTTTTATCATCATTCGAATTAATTCGATTATACCAATATCATTCGAATCATTTGAATTATCTGAAATTGTAATAAACGACCTATTTTCAAACTATTGAAGTACTCATTTCTCTCAAGATTTTTATGAGTAATGTCATATACCTCAACGTGAAAATAGTATTTTTAAACTGATTGTTTCTCTTGGTGTTTCACTGGTTTTCAAAACGCTGTTTTCACGCTGAAATATGATATTTTTCATAAAAATCTTGAGATAAATAATTTCTTTCGAGTTTGAAAATAGGTCCCCAAGTGACTTGTTAAAATATGGACTACAGTAGGCCAACAAAATTAATTATTTCTCTTAAGTAGGATACACATGCAACGTTTTTTAATCTCTGTCAAGTCGGTGAAACACCCAATCACTCCAATCAGTACATCGCGCCGCACACTGGGGCAACAAGCCATCAAAGTTGGCAATAAATCACAGACTCTCTTTATGAATTTGTAAGTTAAATATTGCTTTGTAGAGGTGTTAGTATTACAAATAAAAATACATAGAGGGCTTATAAAGTGTTTGTTTGCTAAAAAAAAAAAAAAAAAAAATAGAAAGTTATTAAGAATATAATATAATAAAAATTTATATTCTATAAAGCCCTCTATGTATTTGCTTTTGTAATACTAACATATAATATGATAAAAATGTCATGGACCTAATGAGGCCTAAGTGCCGTGGGGGTAATCCACCCTCCACACGTTAAAGATACAGATAATAAAAATGTAATATTATAATAATTTCATTTAGAAAAGCTATGATAATTTTAATCAAATTTCATCCTCTTTAGAATGTGATGAGACATTTTCTTCATCGTCTCCACGGTCATCATCAGTGTCATGAATATACCATGGCTATGAAGCTGGACGAGTCCAGATTTAAACAAATCTACTGCCTTTTTAGGAAAGTGCTGCAGGTTCTTTCTTTTTTAATTTTCGTTTGCTCGTGATTACAAGGTCAAAACTAAGTAAAAACGAATTAAAGACGTCCTCATTAGTTTTCTCTGTTAATTGGTCTATAGGCAACAAAGCAGAAGATATTATTTCAGGCTCATGTATAAAGTATTTGTGCAATGTCGGAGGCATATTGACCGTGGGTACTTTTCAAAAAAGTATCTAGCGGTGTTGTGAGCAAATTCTATTAATTTCATTCTTTCCAGAACTTCTCATGATATCAAGAAGTTTCTTTCTCGATAAAAACATAGTGTTCAACCTCGTTCCAGAAATAAAATAAAAAATAAATTAAATTGTTATGTGCGAAACACTGTTATGTTTTATTTTTACCGGGTGGGCTATAAAAAACTGTATTTTGTTTTTATTTTCATTTTTTAAATAATAAACCGATTTTACTGTTCTTAGGCTCCATGTTATAGATAACTAACTATGCTCCCAGATCTATCAAAAATAAACTAGCTCTAAATCGACTCATATTTCAATTAGGTTCGCCATCCTGGAATTTAAAATTTCCGCCATTTTAATTTAATGGTCGGAAAGTATATTTACATACCTACCAAATCAGACACATTGAGTCCAAATCGGTCAAAAACTAAAATAGCAGCGTTGCAAAGCATAATGATGTGTTATTATAAGCTTCTATGAAAACATAAAAACTAGACAACTTTGATTGTCTATATCTTACGATTGAATGGACCAATCGTGCTCGGAGAGGTCTTAAAATAAAGAAAATAGGTTAGATATTTAACTTTTGTTATTAGATTTTATATTTAATTGATAATTATTACGCAAAACGAGCTTAAAATGGGTTACTTTTAGGCTCGTTTTTTTTTCTTCAATTAGGTCGGCCATCTTAAATTTTACATTTCTGGCATTTTGTTATGTCTGTCTGGAAGCATATTTAGTTGCCTATAAAATGAGCCTAAGGACAATAAAATTGATTCATTAATAAACGAAATATATTAAAAAAGACAGAATTCGTTTTTGACGATCGTCCCGCCATATATTTATATACTTTGAAAAAACATAAATAGTGAAGAAAAGTGCAAATAAGTGCACAGAAACTAAACGATTTCGAAAAGTACAAACAATATTCATTATGAAAAGTCGAAATTTAAAGCTTGGACTGCTTTGGAACATAACAAATAGCCTTCATGTATTTAAGAATATTTTAAAATTTTAACGTTTAACCTTCATTTTACTTAACCCCAATATTATAGGATTACGTTTATTTTTCTACAACTTTTTACTTATTAAAATAATAATACATAGCTGAACTTAAAGGCTCGATGACGGAAATTTGAAAATAAAAAATCAAAATACAGCCTAAACACAGCACAAAAAAAAGTTAAAAACTACGAAATAACAATGAATATATAGGTACTCGCCTCAAATAAGTAACTTCGACTGAGGGTGGTGATGAAACGCGTGAGACAGAAGATCGCACTTGTTCGTTTTATTATGTAGTGGACAGTAATATATCAGAAAAAAATATGAGGTAGAGTGTATATGCTATTTAATTTTTTTATTTATTGCCAAATTTGAGGGCTTCTTGCCCCAGTGTGCGCCGTAAGCCAAACCGGTTGCATGATAAATAAAAGAAAATAATGACGTATGACGTTTTTAAATTGGTGTACTGCGTTCTGATTGGATAAGTTAAATGTCAATGTATTTACTTTTGACACATTGATCTTGAGCTACCCAAATAGAATGCAATAGACCATTGATGACAGCAAATAATAAATCATTCGAATAATATGATTCGAATACTCGTTCGATTTTCAATTATCCGAGTATTCGATTATAACGATCATTTGATTATCCATCACTACCCCGAATAATTGCAACCCCACTGTTTAAATATCTGTTCGAGTTTAAACACTAACGCTATAAAGCGGCTCTGTTATATCAGAATTTAACAAAATAATTAACTGTAAAGCCCGCAAATTTGATTAAACTCCATGGGTCCTATGATTGAACATTTACGTTATCCGTAACGTACATGTTAGGCCGAGTTTTAACAACAACGAGACAAATCCGTATGATGTAAAGTCTTTCATAACACATTACTGTTATTTTCCATCTGTTATGTTTTAATTTAACATATCGCCTCAACAGCCTCGAATAACATGCCGTTAAGTGCCCAACGTCTACGTTACCACTTTATTTGTTTAAAATTTAATTATCTAATACTTAGGGGTCTATTCTGTAACAATTCCTTTATATTTAACGGCCTTTAAAAATATTGGCAGCCTTTAAAAATATATTCGTATTCGTTAATTTACTTCTGTCATTATTTAAATAGATTTCTTTAAGATAGTCCTCTAATGTATTTTAAAGATCCATTTAAATAATGACAGAAGTAAAGAAGAAACTATTTTTAAAGGCCGTTAAATATAAAGGAATTGTTACAGAATAGACGCCTTATACTGCTAATTATTTGAATTCTTAGTATATTTAAATTTGTTTTTAATTTATATGATTTGTAAATGCTAGTCAAAGGTTTGATTTTTTTTTATCTAATATATTTGTTCTCCCCGTGACAATAATTTTGTTTTTCCTAACAAAATTAGGCCGCTCCTCATACTATTTCACAGTTGTTTTAGCTAATATTTTCGCCATAATAAATTAAATAAAATGAAAAATGAACTGCAAAAAATTTCTAACCTAATTCTTGTTGTTTTTTTATTCAGAAAAACATGAAAAACCCACATACTTTGAAAATCAAAGTATGTGGAAAAACCTCATTTTAGTTATTTTTAGAAATGAAGTGAAGTTAGGTACATTTTGTGCGCACGCGCAATAACGCAAATAAATACTTTCTTCCATTCGTAACAGCCAGCTTAACATCTTCTGTTATCGATCCTTTCAATCATACCGATATGATACCTACTGTTATTTCATACGTTATCTATTCCCTGTTAGCATAACATAACAGATTCGTATTAAAATTAACGTAAACGTTCAATCATAGGACCCTTAATATGGTAAATTCTCTCGGCAAACTCTGGCTATTTCTAACCAATTGCATTAAGCGTTCCGCCAATGATGTTCAAGACAAGCCAAGCCATTGACGTCATACAGAAGTGATACGTAAAAAGTAATACATTCAATCGCTGCTCCAATTTTACTTTATGTACATCAAACACTTGCTGCTCCAGTCCCAACATTGGATGTCGAAAACCCTCTCGCAGTCCCATTCCTTTCCGAAATATTCATAGATATAGAAATCAAAATATGTGTGTCAATCAGACAAAAACGCAGCACCTGGATTACATACACAAAAGAACTAAAACATCTACCCGAAACCATGTTTCTTATTGTTATCATACTCCTGAACGTCTGCCTCTTCTTTTCCTACTTCTCACTTACCTGGAAATCCGCCTACACCATCCTCATTCCTAAACCAGGAAAGGTTCACAAATTCTGAGACTCTCAGAGACCTATCTCTCTCATAGCAGTCGTAGGTAAACTACTTGAACTTATGCTAAAAATAATAGAATCTGCACTTTTGCAAAGAAAGAAACACTTCATCAATTCCAACAAGGTCTGAGATCTCTGCACTGCACTTAGGACGCAATCTCCTGACTTCATACAACTACGGTTACAGTTGTCTGGCATGCTGGACTAGTCAAAAAGCTTATAGTTATAGGTGTTCTCCTCAACATCTCCAAACTCATACAGTCATACCTCACTGACATAACTATCACAGTCAAAGTAGGCAACGCCTTGCTAGACTCTTTCACCTCTCTTGCTGGAGTACCACAGGGTTCCGTCCTAGCCCCTTTCCTATAGCTCATGTATATCCACGCCATTCCACCTCCAAACCATCCATCGTCAAAATGTCTTTTCTTTGCCGATGATACTTCTCTATTCTCGGTAGCTCAAAATTCTCCAAGTATACAAATTTGCTAAACCTGTACACTCGCTTGTGCAGCAGCTCAACTCAACTCAACCAAAAAAAAAAAAATCCAATTATCATTTTTAATCATCCATACGCATAAAGATCCACCCAGCTTCCCCAGAACGTAAATGTAAATCAAGTAGTCAGTCTCGCTAAACAGATAGAAGTTGACTATTACTTCCCCATTAACCAGGAAATACATATACGGGGTGTTTGAAAAAGTTAGAATTGATCAAAGTCGGTGTCGTTTAAATGGGATTTTCTTTCTTAATCTTCCACATTGTAAGACCTTTCTGTAACAGCTTTACAGTCAGTGGCGGCTTGTGACCAAAATATTGAAGGCTCACAATGACGGAATATAGATCTCCGTACTGATGTAGGTAAAACACTTTTAGTGTTTTAGAAAGGTGTAGGTATAGAAAAAACTAATTATACTAGTTATCCCATTTTATATTTATAATTATATTAGTCGTCCTATTTTATAATTACAAATTTTTATAGATTTTAGTAAATAAATAATTTAATTAAGTTAAAATATTTACTGGGGTTTTGGTTTTATTTTATTAAAATGGATATTATTAGAATATATAGTTATATAGATTGCTCAAAGCGGGTCGTTTGCAAGTGGCCAAATGGCCTTGCAAGTGCTCAATAATCAGAATCGATTTAACAAAAATATGTTTAGAATCCAATTTTCAGCCTTTGAATATAGTAAAAAAATAATTACCTACATTTTTACTTCAATGCATATCTATTTGAAAACCATGGATGATTAATCTATATAACTATCTATTTTATTGACCCTGTCAAATTACGGCCTACGGGGTTGACATAAACGGTCAAAACCCACTGGTAGCAGCCATTTTGTTTGGAATGACTAATTAGCCTATTTCGTTGCGCCTAGCTCCACCAGCAAATATAATCTTGCAGAACTGTATCTAATAATAAAACTTTTTTCTGGACCTATTTCAAATAAATTTATTTTATGTTTTACATTTACCTCTTCTAGAACACGTTCATACGATGGGGGAGGGCTAGCTGGAATGACCTCTTGTCCATCGGCGTTCTCCAAAATTGGACAAACGTTGCTACGGGGGCTCTCCAATTCGTTGTCACATTCAGCAGTGGTAGTCTCCACCGAATTGCTTCTAGTCGAAGCATTCGATTTCGACATCCTGCTGAATTTAAACTTGAAGGGGGCCACTTTAAATTTGATTTTACTCTGTGGTGTATTTGATATGGATTCTGTGTTAAAATTTATCGTTGCAGCTGAAATAAAAAGGAATATAAGAAATTATACACAAAATAGGCTAAATATTTTTAAACGTAAGCTTAATATGCTTGTATGACTGCCAATACCATCTCGGAGGTATTCGGAGTTAGGGTGCCAAATTTTATTCCTCGAGTGCATGTAAATTGGGTTCCGAGCAAATGGACGTTCAGAAATCTAAACATTAAAATCTAAGCTAAAAGCTGAAATTTAGAACGTTTTATTTTATAGCGTAAGCATCTGCTAAGAAAGGATTTTTGAAAATTTCAAGTTTTACGGGGGAAAATGGAGAGAGAAATGGGGGAACTTTGTATGAAAGCCTTTGTTCTTTGAAGTTGGGAACATGTAAATTTGAAACAGCTACTGAGCTTAAATAAATAATGACCTGTTTTAGGGTTTTTGGATTTTACATTTTAGTGGGGGGAAACGGGAGTGAACGTTTGTATAGGAGTATCGGTTTTTTAAAGGTAGGAACTTAACAATTGGAATTGTCATAAATAAATAATGAGGTAATTTAGGGTTTTTGGGTTTTTACATTTTAAGGGGCCAAACGAGGAGGGGCGATTATTTGTATGGGAGTATCGATTTTTTTAAAGATAGGAACTTGAAAATTGGAATCGTAGCTACTTATCATAAATAAATAATTAAATATTTCAGGATTTTTGGATTTTTACATTTAAAGAAGGGAAACGGGGGAAAGCTTGTATGGGAGTATCGATTTTTTAACCGACTTCAAAGAGGAGGTTCTCAATTCGTCGTAATTTTTTTTTATGTATGTTCAGCGATAATTCTTTAACACAGTGTCCGATTACAATGATTCAGGTAGGAACTTGAAAATTGGAATTGTAGCTACTCATCATAAATAAATATTGACGTATTTAGGAGTTTTTGTATTTTCACGTTTATGGGTGGAAGAAGGTGGGTGAAAATTTGTATGAGTATATCAATTTTTTAAAAGTAGAAACTTTAAAAATTGGATTTGTAGCTACTCATCGTAAAAAAATAAGGGTTTTGAATTTTCACATTTTAAGAGGGCAAATGGGAAGTGAACGTTTGTATAAAAGTATCGTACAGATAAATAAATAAAAAATAAATAAAAATAAATAAAAATAAATAAAAATAAATAAAAATAAATAAAAATAAATAAAAATAAATAAAAATAAATAAATAAAAATAAATAAAAATAAATAAAAATAAATAAAAATAAATAAAAATAAATAAAAATAAATAAAAATAAATAAAAATAAATAAAAATAAATAAAAATAAATAAAAATAAATAAAAATAAATAAAAATAAATAAAAATAAATAAAAATAAATAAAAATAAATAAAAATAAATAAAAATAAATAAAAATAAATAAAAATAAATAAAAATAAATAAAAATAAATAAAAATAAATAAAAATAAATAAAAATAAATAAAAATAAATAAAAATAAATAAAAATAAATAAAAATAAATAAAAATAAATAAAAATAAATAAAAATAAATAAAAATAAATAAAAATAAATAAAAATAAATAAAAATAAATAAAAATAAATAAAAATAAATAAAAATAAATAAAAATAAATAAAAATAAATAAAAATAAATAAAAATAAATAAAAATAAATAAAAATAAATAAAAATAAATAAAAATAAATAAAAATAAATAAAAATAAATAAAAATAAATAAAAATAAATAAAAATAAATAAAAATAAATAAAAATAAATAAAAATAAATAAAAATAAATAAAAATAAATAAAAATAAATAAAAATAAATAAAAATAAATAAAAATAAATAAAAATAAATAAAAATAAATAAAAATAAATAAAAATAAATAAAAATAAATAAAAATAAATAAAAATAAATAAAAATAAATAAAAATAAATAAAAATAAATAAAAATAAATAAAAATAAATAAAAATAAATAAAAATAAATAAAAATAAATAAAAATAAATAAAAATAAATAAAAATAAATAAAAATAAATAAAAATAAATAAAAATAAATAAAAATAAATAAAAATAAATAAAAATAAATAAAAATAAATAAAAATAAATAAAAATAAATAAAAATAAATAAAAATAAATAAAAATAAATAAAAATAAATAAAAATAAATAAAAATAAATAAAAATAAATAAAAATAAATAAAAATAAATAAAAATAAATAAAAATAAATAAAAATAAATAAAAATAAATAAAAATAAATAAAAATAAATAAAAATAAATAAAAATAAATAAAAATAAATAAAAATAAATAAAAATAAATAAAAATAAATAAAAATAAATAAAAATAAATAAAAATAAATAAAAATAAATAAAAATAAATAAAAATAAATAAAAATAAATAAAAATAAATAAAAATAAATAAAAATAAATAAAAATAAATAAAAATAAATAAAAATAAATAAAAATAAATAAAAATAAATAAAAATAAATAAAAATAAATAAAAATAAATAAAAATAAATAAAAATAAATAAAAATAAATAAAAATAAATAAAAATAAATAAAAATAAATAAAAATAAATAAAAATAAATAAAAATAAATAAAAATAAATAAAAATAAATAAAAATAAATAAAAATAAATAAAAATAAATAAAAATAAATAAAAATAAATAAAAATAAATAAAAATAAATAAAAATAAATAAAAATAAATAAAAATAAATAAAAATAAATAAAAATAAATAAAAATAAATAAAAATAAATAAAAATAAATAAAAATAAATAAAAATAAATAAAAATAAATAAAAATAAATAAAAATAAATAAAAATAAATAAAAATAAATAAAAATAAATAAAAATAAATAAAAATAAATAAAAATAAATAAAAATAAATAAAAATAAATAAAAATAAATAAAAATAAATAAAAATAAATAAAAATAAATAAAAATAAATAAAAATAAATAAAAATAAATAAAAATAAATAAAAATAAAAATAAATAAAAATAAATAAAAATAAATAAAAATAAATAAAAATAAATAAAAATAAATAAAAATAAATAAAAATAAATAAAAATAAATAAAAATAAATAAAAATAAATAAAAATAAATAAAAATAAATAAAAATAAATAAAAATAAATAAAAATAAATAAAAATAAATAAAAATAAATAAAAATAAATAAAAATAAATAAAAATAAATAAAAATAAATAAAAATAAATAAAAATAAATAAAAATAAATAAAAATAAATAAAAATAAATAAAAATAAATAAAAATAAATAAAAATAAATAAAAATAAATAAAAATAAATAAAAATAAATAAAAATAAATAAAAATAAATAAAAATAAATAAAAATAAATAAAAATAAATAAAAATAAATAAAAATAAATAAAAATAAATAAAAATAAATAAAAATAAATAAAAATAAATAAAAATAAATAAAAATAAATAAAAATAAATAAAAATAAATAAAAATAAATAAAAATAAATAAAAATAAATAAAAATAAATAAAAATAAATAAAAATAAATAAAAATAAATAAAAATAAATAAAAATAAATAAAAATAAATAAAAATAAATAAAAATAAATAAAAATAAATAAAAATAAATAAAAATAAATAAAAATAAATAAAAATAAATAAAAATAAATAAAAATAAATAAAAATAAATAAAAATAAATAAAAATAAATAAAAATAAATAAAAATAAATAAAAATAAATAAAAATAAATAAAAATAAATAAAAATAAATAAAAATAAATAAAAATAAATAAAAATTAATGAAAAAATTTAAATAATTGAATATTAATTGATAAAAAAGACATATCTTGATATAATGGACAGTTTTATGTGGCCTGTTAGAGAGTCAGTTTCATAAGCAATCTGGTGATATTATCAGATGAAACTTGTACCAGAAATTTGGTATACAAAGATAATCTTAATTAATTAGATTACTATACTTAAATATTAGATTACTCTACACAACTCTAATCTATAATACAATCACATACATACCATGAATCCTAAAAAACATATTACCCCTGTTTTTTTCGGCAGTCATGTATTTTTTTTTACATTGAAATTACGTCTTCTTGCGTGCAACGCCTCTAGCAACAGCTATTAACATATAAATTCGGTCCTGTAATTTCGGTCTTACCAGATAACACATGTGCAAAATTCGGTCCCGACGAGCCCTTGGGTAGTAAACAATTAAAAACAGGCAATGATAGTGATTGAAGGATTTCATTAATTATATTAATTTTTAAATCCACATTGAAAGGATATACGTGCAGCAGAAGAGAGCAGTTCACTATTTAATAAAAACTTCAGGTCTTAATAAGACTTTATTTAGGGAAACATTCAAAAAACTCAACTATTTTTCCTAGAGCCATCCAGGGATTCTTTGTAAAAAAATTATTATTCACTGACATGAGCTGAGAACAGAAGTCCTATAAAGCTCATATTATTCAAAAAAATTTAATTAAAAAAAACATTTTTTTTAATCTATAAACTATAACTATAAATTAATATTAAAAAAAATGAAAGAATAGAGGCAATAAATTAAGTTAAGTTACTTTACTTAATTTGTTGTGATTATAATGTATTGTCTCTATACAGATATATACATACTTAACCTAAGGAATCAAATTTGTTTTTAAACGAGTTAACTGAAGGTGTGCATACAACGTTATCAGGAAAATTGTTCCAAACAGAGAAAACTGGGTTTAAAAGAAAATTTTGCCTAACTCTAGAGATAAAATTTTCCTTTTTTAATTTGAACATGTGTCCACGTAGGCACAGGTCATTATTTAATACAAATAAATCCGAATGATCGACACCGAACATATGCCTAATGGCGCGAAGACGCTGTTCATACGGTGGCCTTCTTATACCATACGGAAGCCTTGTCGCAAGTCGCTGCACATTTTCCAACCTCTTTTGATCAGAGATTAATACGGGACACCAAACAGCACCACAGTACTCTAGGCGAGGACGAACATATGTTGTGTATATTTTCAAAAATGTTGAGGGAGAAACATTGCCAAAAGTCGTTTTTAATAAGAATAGTTGAGAGT